TGGTGTTGACTCTTAATGACCACATAGATTTAATCCAGGTTGCGTTTCCAACCTGGTTCTTTATATGTTGTCAAATCATCCTAAAATTCAGTTGGGACTCTTTCAGCCATTACGTTTTAAAAAAAAATAGTTCATAACTAGCATTCCCTCAGTTAAATTAGTTCCTGTATAATAGTTCCCCTACTTATTTCTATAGTCTCTTCCAAGTTAAATATAATGAAATACATATAGTACAATACAATGCAACACAACACCCATGACAATCCTCAAGTAGCTATGCTGGTCCAGATTGTGAGAACTGAAATCCAATGTATCTGGAGAACATTGGGCTGGAAATGGCAATGTTATAAGTATCATTCTAAAGATTCTGCATTGTCATACTGCATTTGAGAATCTAACTACTTGTTTTTGCTGTACTAGGGGCTCCTAGGATTGATATAGTACCTCAGCTCTGAACCAAACTGTTGGGTAAAGCTAAAAAAACAGTCCCAACTAACATTGGAACAGAAGCAGCCCTTATAAGCAAGAAAGGGATGTAGAAGAGTAAGAATCCCTTTCTAAGAAGAAACAAGGCAGCTCATCCATCAGGAAAACTTGTACTATAAAAGACCTTTAAGGTGGCATCCTCATTTCAGTTGATATCCTATTTCTGTATTTCTAGCAGGAAACAAAGCGATCCTCAAAACTAAGTTAAAAATATTCAAACTATAGTCATTATTATAAATATATATATTAAAAAGTATTGCAGTTCTATACAATATTCCTATATAAAGGATCAGCCAAACAAGCAAAAAAAAAACCTGGGGCACACTTTCCATGTCATTGGAATTTTCATCAGGCAACATACTATTTAAAACAAAAAAATGGGGCAGAAGGGTTTTAAAGAACAGAGTGAAAAAATCAATAAAAGGTTAAATAGAAGAGGTAGCAGAAACATGAATAAACTAGATTGAGCTGCCATGTTGTTTGATAGCTAAACTTGTTAGAATAAACATAGTAGATCCCTCCATTTTTAAAAATGCACACTTTCGTTTTTAACTTGGATCTTGGGCAAAATGCGCCTGGTAATTCAAATTGTGTCTCTGCTGCCATCTTTTGGTCAGTCAATAAATATTCCAATGTCAAGTTGCTAAAACATGGGTGAGGGCTGCCATGTCTCCCCACCACTTTGGAACAATCAGACTTGAAATATTCTGTTCTTATTGCCAATTTCAGTAATGGTGGTCTTAGTCTTCATGTGGATTGCCAAGTCTGCAACTCTATTCAATAGGTTTATGCTAATTACAATATATGTGGGTATATGTGTATGTGTTGGATGGATGGATAGATAGATAGACAGACAGATAGATAGATTCAGATATGCAGGATTCTACCAGTTCGCACCTATTCGCTAGAACTGCTTGTTAACATTCTAAGCAGTTCGGAGAACCGGTTGTTAGAAGAAATTACTGGCCTAATCCTGTAAGGAACACAGGAAGGAAACATTCTGGTGTTGCTTACAGAAACTGCCTCTCCGTTAACCCTTATTACATTCTTGGCAGGACTAGACTTCCTGTCTCAGGAACTTCACTGGAGTTTTTTCCCCCTCCTTTGCTGGTACTTTGCTTGTGTGGAGTGACCATTCAAAGTTACAATGCCACTGAAAAAAAGTGAATTATGATCATTTTTCACACTTATGACTGTTGCAGCATCCCCACAGTCATAAGAGGCCAGGTGAGGAGATGCATGCCTCGATGTGAGTGATATTGAGTTGGCCACGCCCAGCCAATAATATGACCACCAAGCCACACCCACCAACTTAGCCACGCCCACAGAACCGGTTGTTAAAAAAATTGAATCCCACCCCTGCAGATATGTACACACATAGAGGACAACCAATTGGTCTAAGTGGCATGTTTGGGAAACAGGTAAGTTTAGTTATGGAGATATTACAAAACAGTAGCTAATTGAAATAAATTAAAGCTACCTTCTTTGAGAAGATACTGTCCAAAAGCTATTTTCTTTAGGTATTATTGAGCAGACTTGCTTCCTAATGTTATTGCCAACTTTTAGTGTCCTAAACTGCATTCTTGTGTCTAGGGGAGGGAACAAATCAATATATTTTTTTTATTAAAAATATGTCCACAGTATTATTTTTGCTTCCTGAACTCATGCTTACTCCCTTAGATACTAAACATAAAATATAATTCTTCAGTTTATCGTTTATAGTTCCCAAATAAGAAAATATAGAGGATTTTTTTAAAAAATCCATGAAGAAGGAATCTGAGCAGCCATTTGTGAAAAATGACATTCCTACATTGGAAAGAAGCTACTGCATGCTGTTGATCGATACTTGTCTGCAGCCAAAAAAAGAATAAAAGTATGCATATAAGATTTTCCAGTTATTATAATACTACAACATCTCCAAGCATATTCAAGATGTATTATTTAATTTTCTGTATCTGGAAGAACAGGTTCTTTTCATTATTTTTTTATGCATTTCTTCATGCACAACAATAATAATATGGGTTTGTGCAACAGTTCCCAGCACTCATTTTTAGCTTTCCTTATCAGTAGGGTCCTTATCCACACAGATAGTTCTCGACTTACAACCATTCATTTTAGTGACTGTTTAAAGTTACAATGGCACTAAAAAAGTGACATGGCTGGTTTTGACCCTTAAAACCATAAGCAGAATTCCAATAGTCATGTGATTAAAATTCAGGTGCTTGGCAAATGGCCTGCACTTAGAACAGTCAGTTTATTCCAGGATCATGTGGTCACCATTTGTAATCTTCCCAGCCAGCTTTCAACAAGCAAAGTCAATGGATAAAGCCAGTTTCACTTAACAACTATGGCACAGAAGGTTGTAAAATAGGGTGCAATTCATTTAACAACTGCCTTGCTTAGCAGTGGAAATGTTGGGGTCAGTTGTGGTCATAAGTAGAGGACTACCTGTATTTAACAATGCAACCCTATGTATGTCTAAGTAGAAAAAAAATCTATTGACAATAATTAGGGCAGCTATTGTCTTACTATTAGTTTTGTTATTAAATAATTTGGCTTATTTGAGTAGTATGCACTAGAATGCAGTGAAAGAATACCACGTAGTGCTGTGTCTCAAAAAAAAAAAGAGGAAATAATATAGTGTTGGAAGAAATATCCTTCTGGGTTCAGTTCCAAGGGGGGGGGGAAGACACTGGAAACATGGAGGCTATTTGGAAAGATGGTTTAATGGTGGACAGGATCACATGCCTTGGAGCTCCTGAGCAGAAAAAAGGCAGAGATGCTGAAAGTCCCTTGGTTTTATGCCCTCTGTTGGGATTTGAATTTGAGTTTGTATTCTGATTGGTTGTCAGACTCCCATGGGGCCATGCAGGGGCATCTCAGTAGGCTGTCCTGAGTCCCAGGCTTGGTTGAGCCTTGCTGGATGATGATGATGTAATGAAAGGGCTTTGGGCAATTTCTATTATAGCTGTGCCTGGAGTAGAACTTTGTTATGTAAAATAAACTGGCCCAGGACAGAGTAATGGTCCATTAGCAAAGGGGGGGGGGCTGAGTTTCTGCCTCTCTGAGTTTCTACTTCTCTTTTAGGGGAAATATTCTGCCTTTTTAGTATATCCTAAAATACTTCGTTTTTCTAGGAGAAAACAATAGTTAATGGCTGGATTCATACACACAAATCAGCCACTGCTGTAAAAAGCCACTGAGAGCCAGTTTTATATCAAATGTAGGCTGTAAAGCTTTTTTATTTATTACAGATAAATCAGGAATCCTGGCTTGGTCCTTTTTTTGAAAACCCATTTCAACAATCTTTTATTTTTCTTGAGATTTTTCTAGATACATTGAAAACTGTCTAGAATACTAAACAAGTATTGATAAATTGCTCCTCGCAAAAGGAGCCAAATCAACATGATTAGTCAATTGCATTGACATGATGCTTATTCCCAGATAATATACATTTTGTATGTTGTCAGTAAATAATTAATATTACTGACTTTAATAATTTTGCAGAGTAAATTATAAGACATTCTGGAACTATCCAGACTGGATTGCTTTCCCTTTGGGACATAGGATGATATTAAAGTAGTGCAATGTAGACTCTATTTGCACATCCAAAAGTATTAATTAAATGTATTCTCCAATAAAATTAGCTCCCTCTGACATACAAAAGTAGATGCTGCCTACGGACAGGCATTTAATAGAATATTTTTTTTATTCTGTTCAAACACATCCAACTCTCAGAGACTGTCTAGACCAGGGGTGCCAAACTCGATTTCATTGAGGGTCGCATCAGGGTTGTGTTTGACCTTGAAGCTTTGAAAAGAGATGAACACTGCCTATAATTAGCAATGACTAGTAGAATAAAAACTGCAGGGAATTCTCCTAAACAGCAATCATATTGAACCCCAAATGCTTTCCAATAAATGATTATTCTTTTGAAAAAGCTTTCTGTTTGTTATGTGTTTTTCAATCAAAAGGTATGAAGACTAATTTGGAACTGAAGGTTATCAATAATGCAACATTATTTTTAGCTTCAGATTATAACTTTATGACCAAGTATTGTCAATCCATTTCAGTTTGAATCCATTTTGGGATACATTAGCTTCCTTTCTTTAAATATTTTTTTGCCTTGTTGTAACTTACAAAGCTTTGAGTTATCATATCCCAACTATTAACACAAGCACAAAGTGCACTCCTTGTTAAGAGGAACGCGGCATTAAAATATGTGTAATGTAGGCTATTAAATAATAGCATTCAGTATTGACCCTTTCTGTTACTGAGTTTGTATTTGGTACTCTGGGATATACTGTTTGCCGTTTCCATGGAAATGGTGAGATTGTGACATATTTACACAGTAATGATGTCATAAAGAGCATGTTGAAGTACTCCTAAAGCATCAGGAGCTGGCTCCTTAATGCAATCTTCTGGCCAGGGCTTGCAAGACCAATTTTTTTCCCCTGACGAGTGCCCTTTTCCAAAGGCTGTACTCGTAAGTTAATATGGTTTAATGCTTTCTAATGGCAACGCTCTGTCACGCTTTGGAAACCGTGAGACGAGATTTAAGGCGAACTGACAGAGAAATAAAAAGGCGTTTAAGATATCTAGACATGAGTTGCTGCCCTAAAAGCTGCTGCCCTAAAAGTTGCTGCCCTAAAATTTGCGATGTGCAGAGCCACTGCTGCTGTGATATAAGTCTCCATCCCTACTGTTGCTGCCTTCTCCACCCGTACCCCAATTGCCTATGTGACATACTATGTTGCCGTCCCTGTCGACCGCTCTGCCTCTCAACCTTGGAGCGGAAAGCTATTAGAGCTAAAATAGAAGCTGAGCAAGAACTGGCCAGGTAAGTCTGTTTCCCCTTTCTTCATTTACTAGATCAAGAACTGGGGAGGAATGAAATGAGAATTAATGGTACTAGTTCCATTGGTTTTTGAAACAGACACTGCCCATAATTTGTTTTATATGCCTCATATTTTTATTTGGGGTGAAATATAGTCTGTTCTCAAGAAAGAGGCTGTCAGTTTAGTGAAATATACCAACCAGATGGAAATAATTAATTTGAAGGTCACTCATGACTAGATAATTGGATAGCCCAATGGAAAGTAGATATAGATGTAAAAATTTCATTGTGGCATGTGTAATATTCATTTGAAAAATGAGAAACTTGTGATTGAATAAAGATTTTTAAAGCCTTCAAGTTTACTTCAGCTCCTGGAAACTTCATAGGCTCCATGCAATTGTCTTGACAAAATTCAAAAATGGTTTATTAGTTCCTTTTCTAAGATGTGTGTAGTTTTTGGTAGGGTGGTTTGGGTGTTTTTTTTTTAAGATTTTCCTCTTAGCCTAAATTCCCGTGATACTTCTTCTGAACAAGGTCTCACCTTATCTGAACTAAGGGCCAGTATATCCTGTTTAAAGTACCCAATCCACAAATCATACTAAACCTGTGGAGTCCTTGGTGCTCTCTAAACTTGATTGTTTGCTTACAGATGCTTCATTAACTGACTAGATAACATCATCAGTGCTAGTGAGTGTGAGGTTTGCTTCCTATTTATATATAATAGGTTTCCCTGCATGTGTTGGTGGGGACTGATTTTCTCCTTGGTTGTTCCTTGATTTAGGGCATTGTTTTCTGCTTATTTGTATGGTGTTAATCCCTGTTTATCTGTGTGTGGGCTGCTGGAGAGGATGTGTTCTGATCTTTTTGTTTCCTTCCTAGGTTTTAGTCTCTTTCAAATAGTGTGCAAAAGTACCTCTATCAACACTGTGGTAAAAGCTACTGTATATAACCAGGGCACCTCAGACTCACTAGCATTTATGATGTTAACAGTTGGGCAAGGCAGCATCTGCAAGCAAACAACAAATCTAGAGAATACCAAGAACTCCACTGGCCAACCTGAGCTACATATATTTTCTTTTATTTGCATTTTACCTTATAATGCTGTTTGTTTAGCATTAATAAATTCCAGTAGATAGGTTCCCATCACACTCAGCATTGTGCAGATATCAGCCTAGCAAAAAGAGTATTCTGAAACATGATTTGCATCATTCATTTTTTCCAAATCTTTTTTAACATCCTTTGACAATCTTTCAGCATTTCCTAGATGGTGCTTCCCAATAACAAAATTTGTGTGGATGTATCTTGTGTATAATCACGTCAGTAATGCCAACACTGATAGGAATTTTACTAATCTAACATTGCAATGACCTTGTCATTGCTAACATTGGTAGAATATAGATGATTTCAATCCTGAAACATTTCTTTTAATATCTACAGCTTAGTTTCCATCAACATTTGAGACGTATTAATTTCTACTGCTAAGTATTGAACATCAGATTTGTATATAGGATATTCTAATATTTAAATTGATATGTTGCAGTCTTATCCTCTTCTTTGTTATAATTGCAGGATTCGAAGAAGGGTTTGTAAAATGATGGCAGCATGTAGTCGTCCAAAGCTTTTAGCTTTAATGGATGTTAAAGGTTTTGACCCAGAAGATATTACAGTAAAAGTGCAAGATGGGAAGGTTAAAGTTTGTGCTGAACATGAAGAAGAATTTAAGACTTGCAGAGGGAAGGAATATAACTATTCAACTGTCACCAAGGAGATCTGTTTACCACCAGGGATTTGTGAGAATGAAGTAACGTACACCATAGGACCGACCAGTCTTGTGAGGATAGAATCACCTTGCTGTGTGCCTCCTTGTTGCCTCCTTAATCTTATTTAAACACTGGGCAACCAGCTCTGGTAGCTGTACAGTGTAAGGATGGGACACCACTGGGATCTCATGAAAACCGTCCTTTGATCATGTGTTAGGAAATGTGTAAACCTCTTCCAACAATGACAACGTTGCACATCAATTGGCTTGACTGTGCTTTTTTTTTTTTTACTGAGGGGGGCGGGGTGACATTATTTGTTTCTTGAAGAATGCCTGGTTTTTCTTAAGAAAGCTTTTAGAGAAGGGAAGTAACTCAACAACCAGACACATGCTTTGACACTTCCATTTAAAAAGGGATTGAACAGCAGAGGGCAAGTAAGGCTGTATGCCTAAGCCACTGGAGAGTTGCTGCTAGTTAAAACAGAAGGTACTGGAGTTAATGGCAAATAGTCTGACTGAAGGCAACTTGGCTTCTTAAACGTGTAGGATAACACGAAGAAACTTGTGCCAAAGCAGCTTTTAATGAACTATGGATACTAGGTATTCCAACCTAGTATTAGATCCCTACAAACTTTCATGATGATATGCCTTCCAACATTTATTAGAAGGTTAAAAAAATGTGTTTCTAGCTCTCTGGCTACCTCCCATCCAGAGCCAGATAGAGAAAAACAACAACTTCAGAAAGTGCACACTGATCGTTGGTATAATGGTGAGGGAGGAAGATATGTACATCCTCTGACTTTCCTTGTACCATCCACAAGGTATCCTGTTGTTTTACAAGTGGTAGAAGGGTTAATCTATCACTAGGAGGTAAAATTTAGCTGATGGGTTTCCTCTATAGGCTTTCCCACCCATAACTTCCCCCAGTATCTTGTCTTTTGCCTCACCTCACAAAATGCATGGGCTGACTTTGCCCTCCTGTATTGGATTTGATCTCAGTCTTCCTAGAATCATTTGCCTCATTCCCAGGGTATCTGGCGCTCTGGTACACTGTCACATGTGACACAACTGTACATATATATCCATACAGAAGTCAACCCCATTGAGATCAATGAAATATTTCAAGTAAGTGGTTCAGATTCCAGGCTGTTTTGCCTTATATCTAGGGGAAATGGCAGGACAGCAAAAGTGGGGGGGGGGGGAACCATTTGAATCCAAAATTAGCACATTGTTGAATGACAACAAGGAAATTAAGACTATAAATTGGAGGGAATCTTACTTCAGTAGCTGTCATGGTCCATATAAATTAGAGTTTAATTCCCAGAATTATCCAGGCAACATTACTGGCTGGAGAATTAGAGTTGGGGCTACACATCTTGACATTGCTATGGAATTAGGATGTGGAATTCCAGTAATGTTAAATCATCAAGTATTTTATAATAACATTTTATGTAAAAAAAAAAAAAAAAAAGCTCACTTGAAGCATGTTTTAATTTGGTGCTAAAATAATTAAACAAAAAATACCTTCCGCAATCCACATAAATTAGGGTCGATCTATTTGGACTAGAATCAGTGCTTATATAAAGAGCCTTTCTATGTAAATAATTCATCTCATTGCCAGATAATATTTAATTTATAGGATACCCACACACAGTATATCACATAGTTTGTTAAATATCAAGAACAAGGCAGCCTTATGCTGCAATTTTATACAAGATAAATTTAGTTGTTTTTTTAAAAAAACTGCCCATTTTCTACCACTTGTCCACCATATAGATTTTCTGACATAGGTCGACAACAGCTTATCACACAGCAGTCATCTAATTATTATAATTCTATCATAATAATATCTTGGATGGTGCTAATGGACATTTGTCTGAACTTAATTTGTGAGTATGGTTCTACCTGTGTTTTTATGACTTGCAAATGTAGACACATCTTCTGCAAGAATATGTGCACCAACAGGTGTGAGGTCCACACATGAAGGTCCAATTAAACTGATTTATTGTTGCTCATGCCTATGCATGGGAATCTTCTCAACCAACAGTTCACACCTGCTTGAGGTAAGATAAAAATCAAGATAATTTAAGATAGGCTGGACTTAGTTTGCTTGTGTCTATGTAGGGATTCTAGGCTGATCTCTCTCTCAACTCCACCCATAGGGTCTGCCACTCTCTCCTATTCGTACATATTATATCATATGCCTGTGGTGGTATACAATTATTTTCATAGAAAAAATTATGCCATATTTATAAGCAAGCTCCTTATATGTATATATTAAATATTGGCTCATCTAGAAGCAAGAGCATACCATCACTGATTATCTTCCCCTGTTTTCCATTTTTTCCCCTTTGGGAAAATAAACTACATTGTATGTCCATACGTTGTGAGAGATGGTTACACTATTTCTATGTACACAGGTAGTAATTCATTGTAAACTGTCCTAAACTATCCTAAATCATCTTTAGGGCAAAGATGCTTTGTTTACTACCAGCAAATGTTTCTGCATAGAAAATTGTGATTGATACCCTAATCCACAGGTGTCCAACTTGATCGCGTCATGTGATATCACATGATGTATCATATTTTTTGCTTTTACGGAATTGGGGTGGGCGTGGCCTACGCATGATGTATCTAGCCCACGGGCCACCAGTTTAACACTCGTGCCCTAATCAACTTCAGGTGATCTTCCAGTCTTCACAAAAATAAGACATTGAGAGGAATTTGATAACATTACCACTAGGTGGCATGTATTTTTGTAGATTAAACATCACTCTATTTATATTTTCAGACAGTGAAATTTTTCCAGGCCAAAATAAGCATGGCCTGAACCTGAAGTTTTCTTTACTCATTCCCGTTTTAGGCTAATCCTAGGGCATGGATATTGATTTTCCTTAGGTGGGCCAAAGGTATTCCTGGAACAGAAACCTAGTAGAAACTCTCATGCAATTCCTGCTTTACATAGCACAATGTCATCATTTTTACCTTCATGTACATGAGTCAGCTTGGTGTACTGGTTAAAGCATTAAATTAGAAATCAGGAAAGCATTATTTTTGGTCCTTCTTTCAGCAAGAAGCCAGGTGGGTAACCTTGAGTTTTCACTCTCTTAGCTTTAGGAAGGCAAATCACTTCTGAAAAATCCTTCCAAGAAAACAGCAGGAATTTGTCGAGATTGATTCATGGATTTCTTGAGAAACAAGAAATGCACAAACAAACTCCCAAATTATATGCATAGGTTTGTATGTATGTGTAGTTGTAGATCTGCAGATGTTCTCCCATTCCAACTAAACTACTGTCTGGTTGCCTTAATGGGCTCTTTCTCTAGGTAAAGTGAGGACAGATAAAAATGAGGAGAAATGCCAGTGTTAGACCCCTGGAGCTCTTGGAGAAAGGGCCAGATACAGCTGCAAAAAATACATTAATTATGCAACAGAGATTTTCTTTAAGTGTGGAACCTTTCATAGTCAAAACAGCACCATCCAAACAAAACAGAAGATATTGCAAGAAGCTTCTTCGGTTTGCAGGAGTAAACACAGTATTTAAAAATGAAAGGGGGATTTCCAAACAGCTTCATGAGCATTGAATCTTCTCAGACTCAGACAAACCTAACAAAACGGAGTCAAAGGAAGATGGCATGAAATATTCTGGGAAAGAAGACCCTGAATCTCAAGTGGGAATTAGTGAGATGGAGATAGGAATTGGGCAGTGGTGCTTTTCAAAAAAATTTTACCACTGGTTTGGTGGGCGTGGTTTGGTAGGCAGCTTTGTGCGCGCACACATACTTTGCGCACAAGCCAATACTTTGCACGTGCACACACACCAAATGCACACTTTGTGCAGGCGCAGAGGCTTTCGGACTCACCTCCTGCAATCCTGCACTCTCCCTGTCACTTCAGCAGCTGCTGCACAGCAATCTGCAAAGCAGCTGTGCTTCAAAAGCAGGACATAAAGGTTAGCATGGGAGCCTGGGCGGGAGGGTGGTCCCAACAGCAGAGTGTCAGAGAGAACCAGTTTGGTCCCTGCTGCTCATTGGCGCTACTGGCTCAGCAGAACCGGGCCAAACCGGTAGAATACCACTACTGGAATTGGGGTAAGAGTCCAGATGCAACTGTGGACCCATCTGAAATTCAACCATCTTATTTAAATTTGTTTTTGAGGTGCTAGATCTGGATTGCCTTTCGAAGAAGTAGTTATGTAGGGCTGGCTTAGGTTAATGTACTCAGAGGCTGATGGATCCTATTTTGTTCCAACAAGATCTGGACTAGAGGATATTTGAGAAAAGGCTGACCTCTCTGTCAATGACCTGGTTGATGCAGGAAATAAAAAAAAAAGAATATGATAGAGTGGCTGGTAGATTACATCGTGTCCTGTGCTACCAATCAATACTCTGATGCCTTTTGAGGACTCTGGGCAGTTATTCATAGGCAAGAATTGTTTGAGTTTGATTTGAACTTAATGTCAGGTTCAGCAATAACCCACATTGGGAAACCACTTCATTGGCTATTAACATCTGTCCAAATCAGTTCTGATGCTTGTAGTCTAAGAAACTTAGTTAAGGTTCATGGATCTTTTTGTACTGTTGCTTTCATATTTCATATTTTTATATTCTAAATATAGTATATAAAATCATACATTGCAATGTCCTACCTGCAAATGAATACTTCAGCTTCAATCATAACAATACAAGAGCACACAATAGATACAAACTCAAGGTTAATCGTACCAAACTTGACTGCAGAAAATACAACTTCAGCAACAGAGTGGTCAATGTTTGGAATACTCTACCTCTACCCGACTCTGTGGTTTCTTCCCCAAACCCCAAAAACTTTAACCTTAGACTGTCTACTATTGGCCTCACCCCCTTCCTAAAAGGCCTGTAGGGGGTGTGCATAAGCTCACCAATCATGCCTACCGTCCCTGTCCTATTGTTTCTTTTTATTTTTCTTACAAGTATCTATCTCATGTATTCTGGACTATATTTATTCTTATATCCATATCTTGTAAGCGATTGTCAAATCAAATAAATACTAAAAAATATATTATTATTTTCCCCCAGACTGGCTTATTACTCTATAGATTCAGTTTGTCGGTGATCTCTCAGATTAACACCTGTTTTGCAGATAGATTTCCTTTCCACCTACAA